AGTTCCTTCTTTTAAATTTTTTTTGAAACATATACAAACTCGGAACAGGTTGGGGAGCCAGGGAACCTTTTCCACAAATTAACAGAACATTGCAAATATGAAGTCTGATCTCACCGACTTTAAATACTCTGTCCATTTAGACCACATCTTGTAAAAGTCCAGCTGCACTTTCAATAAAAATGAAACCTTTTCCATCGTGTAGATCTCTTGTACCATATCAATCCAGTTCTCAATTTTTAGTCGCTCAGGTTTAAGCCACTTCCTTGTTATTGCATTTTACTTGCTGTCAATAGAATATAAAGTAATCTCTTGTTTGTGTTGTTAAACCCGTCTAATATTAAGTTACCGAGGTACAAGGTTTCAAATGATAGGGGGATAACAAATTAAAAAACATTTTGCAGATGTTGATGAATCTCTAACCAGTATTCTTGGATGTAAACTTATTTTAAGCCATAAAATGAATATGAGAAGCTTGCAGAGCTCATCAATAAAAAACTGTGGTTAGTTCTCCCATAGTGTTGCACAGACCCTTGTCCACCATTCCAAATCAAGTTCTAGAATATGAATTTAACCTCTTCCTCTGCCCTCTTCAGTCTGGAGCCCACTCTGGTGCTGAGAGCTGGGGCTGTGAAGCTCACCTCGGTGCGATTCTGTTCAGAGGCGGATGCAGTCGTCGTGGGAGACGCACAGGGAGAGGTCAAAGTTCACAAGCTCCACAACTTCAGGGTGGGTGACAACGGACAGGTAAACAATACTCAGACATAATTATATTTTCTATGCAATCAATCAAATCAACAAGAAGCTGATAAATATAGACTTTCTTTCTTATTCAGGTCGTCAAATTAGAAAATGTTATTTAATTTGAATGTTCAAGTTTTCTTCAACTCAACGTTTGTTTAAGATTTTAATGTACAATATGCTACAAATATTTCAATGCTGTTATCAAAATGTATGTTTAATATTATTTGTATTACACTTATGATACAGATTTCAGACATTTGTTTACTGTGTAGTTTAATGTCAGACCACTAGAGGGAGTAGTCTCCTTTTTTAGTCAAGAATTAAATCTGTCTTTGCGGCTTTTTTCCCAAATGTAGAAGATAAACTAAATGAAAAATGTTAACTAAATGTAAAATTCCAATAAAAAATATTTTGAAGTTATTTTGACCTCCCCTAATATTTCTACCCAAACCTGGTCTTTTGAAGCTTTTATTGCATATCTTAGAATCCATTTCACTTTTCATAATGAGAAGGAGGGGGCAGTTTTCACTTCTGATTATATTACATTCTCAAAAGCAAAATCAGAAGTGTAAATGCACAAATCTGAACCTACTAAACCCAAGAACTTACTGTATTGCAACAAAAATCTGCATCTGAACAATCTTCATTATAGCTGCCCTCATCTGTATGAACTATCAGAACAGAATGTTGTGATCTGATCTTCTTGCCTGTATGCTCCAGGTGGACTGTAGCTTCTGTCCTGTCCACAGCGACAGTGCTGTCTTTGACACAGTGTGCTCCAGTGCTGTGTTCAGACAGAGACTGAGCTGTACAGACAAGCCTCACATTCCTCACACTTATCCACTGATCTGGGACACGGGCTCCACACAGGGACCGTCATGTGGATTTGCTTTGGGCTCAGTCAGTCAGTGTGGTGATTTTCAAGCTGGTAGAGGTACATCTCACTGTAGATTTCAGGGTTTCAATGGACGATTCTTTTAGTCAACCAGTCAGTTATTTCTATTATATGTTAAGATATTTAAATTACAGTTTAACCGAATAATGGTGAAAGGTTCTGAACTCAGTATCCCATGCATTTAAATTTAGAAAACTTAGACAAACTTATTGATCCACAAGGGAAATTTAATCAAAATGTGAAGCTCTTGACGTCAATATATGTCTATTGTGTGCTGTCTGCATCTGATTACTCACCTTTTTATTGTTGAATGTGTGTTAACATCCTAGTTGTCAGCTTTACTGCAACTGCAATACTCTAGTCTATGAAAGTTGGGAAAAGCGCTCATAAATTCATCCCGGTGAATAATTAGATGGATGCTGTGAGGAATAACTTTGGACCATTGTAAACCGTTTCAAAAGAACTAGCTCTGTTTTCCATGTTTTAAAGACTGTAAACATCAGGTACAGTGCCATATTTTGGGCACTACTTTTAGCTGAGTCCTTCCACCTTTGCCCGTGCACTTCCTTTTGTTAATGTGTGTGTGTGTCTTTGCTGATGCAGACAGCGACCGGGCCAAAGCTCATGTGAGTGAAGCCGCAGTGAATCCATGACACATCTCCCTGAAATCCGCACGTTGGGAGATTTATTTTTAACAAACGCAGATCATTTCCTGTGCGAGCTGCTGCCGTGAGCTCTTCTGTCACTCCATTCAACATAACGCAGAGGCCACCGGGTGACCATGTGACCCTGAACTCATGAATCCAGTTATCCAGTGAATGCCAACGGGAAGAAGATAGAATCGGTTTGTTTCAGGAACAGAAAACAGGAAACTGTGCAGAGGCTTGTCATAAAGAAAGTATCAAGAGCTAACTACTACTACTACTACTACTATCATATCTAAATGTACTCTAAAGGTGTGCTATTCATTTTTCCAGACTTGAAATTGGACTAGGACAAGTCCAAGCAACCTTTGCAAAACAGGTTTATCAAAATGGTCCTATATTATGTATAATTGACTTGTGAGCTTCAAGCCATGTTATAATGTTGTTACCTCATCAAACACAGACCTGGAGTTGTGTTTTGTTTTGTTTAATTCACACATGTTTGAGTAAATCCTGCATTATTAGTCTGTCTATGTCTCCAAAGCTCAAAATGCTCTATTCTACCTTGTGATGTCATATAGTGGTAGTTTTCAAGTTAACCGCTACATTTTCACCTTTAGTTCAAAAGTGATTCCAGAGCTGAAGTGATCCAAATGATTCTAATAAAAGTGTATTGAGTTTAAAAACACAGTGGAGCAGTTATATTACCACATGACATCAAGGTGTTTTCAGTTTGAGAGAAGAACTCTGCTTAAATCTGCAGCAACAAACAAAACACAGCTCCAGGTCTGTTTGTGATGAAGAAACAACATTATAACAGAGATCGGAAAATAGCATAATATGGGCCTTTAATATCATTATAGTCCAGAGAGAGTCCATTGACACTGTTAATAATATGAAACTGTACTTTTATTTATGGCATGCATATTTTAAGTACATTTTCAGTCAATTTCAAACCTGATTTGAAATTGATTGACTTTTGCAAACTGAAATTATTTCAGATGTTAATTTAATTTTGCAGTGGAGATCCCGGGCATGGTTATTTTAGGGTCACAGCTAGAAAAGTTTGGGGACCCATGTTTTAGATCATGATGATTTTTTTCACTTTTTCTTAAGTGGGAATTGGAGTAAATAGTGGCTGACTTGGACTTGAGAAATAGAGACAGGACTACAACACAATGGTTATACATGCAGCAACATATCTTCATTATTTAACTGCGACAGAGATATATCATAGATGCGTATGTGTATGTATGTATATATGTATGTATGTATGTACATGTGAGCATGTGTGTGTACATATGAGTATATGTGTGTGTGTATACATATTTATGCATTTGTGTACATATATGTTCGTGTGTATATTTATGAAATGCATACGACAGGTAAGCACTCCAAAGGTGAAATAAAAAGTGTCAACCATTTGATTATGTAAAAAAATTGAGGTAGGACATTATAAGTTTTTTTTAAAAAAAAAAACTTCATACTACTCCTTTTGAGCACCAGGTCCCAAATATGTACATGTACATATCCTTGTTTTTGTTTTGGTTTTTTTGTTAGTGTTCTTGATTTTGTTTTACTTTGCTCATATAAATAGCAATAAAAAAAGGTAAGTTTTGTATTCTTAATGATATAGTTCATATTATTTTGCTTGTAACAAAGCTTGTTTGCTGGCCACTTTGCTTAAGATGTGTACCTACTCACCACTTGTATATTGTCTGGTTTTTGCTGCTTGTTTCGGTAGGAAGTGAGATTTGAAAAGGCACAACTTCTGCTGTTGGTCCTTTGTTGAAGCGAGGGCTGCTGCTTTTCACATGGCTTCAATTTACAACAATAAGTGCTCTTATTCTAAACTTGATTACATGACAATGTGAACTGGTTAAACAACTTGTACACAAAACGACACACAAACTCTCCACCCTCAGACCATACGTACTCACACATGACATCTACAGCCACTTTATTTTACCGTTAAAGTTTTGTGGAGCATCTCTATCTGCAGAGGAGAAAGTGCACACCCAATAAATACTATCAAATGTCACTTCACCTGCCTGATTTCATGGAAACACAAAGGTAAAACCATACTTTCAACATTCTCAATGGAAATATATATGCTTCATGCCATTATGTGGAAGATTACAGTCAAAAGAACAACGTTTCCATGGACATAAGAAGGAGGAGACCAAGTCAGAGTCACATTTGTGGAGATGCAAGCCTGTTCACAGTAAAGACACATGTTTTTCTATGTTTTTCAGTGCAATAAACACAACCAAAAAATTATAATAACATAACATATTTTCAGTAAAAGTAATAGTAATAGTTTAATGTAATATTTTGCTTGTAGTAAAAAACGAAATTCTCTGCAGGCATATTTGGAATCTAGGGTGGTATTAGTCGTAGTAGTAGTTATTACAGTTATTATAAAGCTTAAAACTTTTAGAGTTAGACCCTCCATGCTCCTTTGTCTTTAAATGCAGAAAAAGCAAACTACAGACAAATCATGTACCAAGTAAATGATACTTTTTTGTTTCTTTCTTTCTTTACAAAGTCCACTGTAAAAACCAAGCTGTATATTTCTTGACAGTTCCTTCCTTTAGAGTACTAGGCGTGTATTTGTGAGTCAGACATGAGGCTTGTGATCTAATAGGCTGCAGTAGTTTGCTCTGTGGGCGTGTCCAGTGCTCTGTGGGCGTGTCCAGTGCTCTGTGGGCGTGTCTTGGTACACACACTGGACCGAACATCTCATTGCAGACCCATATGTGCAGCTCATACACTGGATTTTCGCATCCACTGAGGTGAAAGTCCTGCTTCTGTGCGTCAACAGCGCGCGGGGCTACGCTTTAAAGGATTTGAAACCAAATACTCGTAACTGAACTGTTTTTACAATGATTGAAGTTTCGATACCTTCAATGGAGCAAGAGGAAGATGAGGCGGGGAAGACCAAAAAAGTAAGGATAATTCTGATTTATATTGACTGAAACATGCTTCAGAATACACTAAGGCCAAAATATGCGTGATTTTTTACATTTTTGCGTGATTCGTGCTTGAAAAACATAGCTTTTTTTTTTAGGTTTTACAGAGAGGAGCGCGTGACCAGGTGAGCTTTACCTGCGCGCTCACTTCCGCTTTTGCCTTTTATGCAAAATGACTTTCACTATTCGCTTATCACTGCCAAATGTCACGAGTGAGTGAACGAGATACAAAAGTGCGGTTGCGTAAATAAAACACTTTTAGCTTGTTTCTGTTTTATACTTTTTTACAGCTCGAAACAATAATGCTGTGAATGAAATACCTGAACCCTTTTATGCTCTAGCTGAGTGACAGGTGCATTTGACCAATCATAGTCAAGTGCTATTTTGTTAAAGTTGCAATATGCAACTTTTCTGCATCCTGGCTATCAGACTTTGGGACTTGCAAGTCATGATTTGGATTGGAGTCTGACTTCTGAGTCACTATTTTCAGGACTTGAGACTTGACTTGATAAAATGGACTTGGGACTCAACCTGGACTTGAAGGGCAGTGACTTGGGACTTGACTCTGACTGCCCCCCATCCTCCACATGGATGTAACTTAAGTACTGTGATATGGTATCCTCAAATGTACTACAGTATTATTCAGTAATATACAGTGCAGTTAGGTTAAGTTAGATTAGGTTGCTTTATTTGTTCATTACAAAATAAAGTGTTACAGAGCTCCAGAATGGTTTGTTCCATAAACAGTTAGTTAAATTCATCCATCACACTTGGCTAAAAACACAATAAATATTAAATATATATATAAACACACACACACACACACACAATTTTTCCAAGACAAACGCACTAAAATTGATAGATAAATAGATTACAATTTATTCATAAGTCCAATAGCAGCTGGAACGAAGCTCCTTTTAAAACAAACAATTTGTTCTAGATCTTGGGACTAAAAGACTCGGACCAGAGGGAATCAGCTGAAATTCTGAGTTTAGTGGATGTTGCATGTTTTTTATAATACTCTGGGACGTCCTCTGTAACTGTATAGAGAGTCCAGACTGCTCTGAGGATGAACAGTCACTTTACTCGCCCATTTAACCAAATGATTCAGGGAGTTCTTGTTTTTTGCAGAAACTCTCATGGTTTGGGAGCGTTTCTTCTAAAAACAGTACAATACAGTAAAACAGTGGGAACTAGAACATGATCCTTCCATTTGAGTGCAGATGACATGACAAAATACTTTTACATCTGAGTACTTTTACATATGAATCCTTTCTGTTGTGACCGTAATGATTCACACTAAGATCTTGACAAGACATTTAAAAAGGAAAAATTTGCATTTCTACTACTATATAAATACCCATATATAAATAAACCATGACTTTTTTAGTACACTTTAGTTTAAAATTCATAAAAATGGCAAAAATCAAAGCAACTTTGAAGCGCAAAGCACATGACTTGGACTTGACTTGGACTTGACTTGGACTTGACTTGGACTTGACTTGGACTTGACTTGGACTTGACTTGAACTTATGGGCCAGTGACTCAAGACTCAACTTGGACTTGCCTGTATTTGACTTGATTTGTATTTGAGGTTTACTTGAAACTTGGAAAACAACGACTTGGTCTCACCTCTGTAGGCTATATTACATTTATTCAATTACAGGTTTTTATAAGTACAAAAAAAACCTTGATACACTATATTCTTAAAACTTTTACTATGTAGTAATGCTGTTGCCTCCTCAAAAACAGACCTGGAGCTGTGTTTTGTTTCATTCACACATGTTTGAGTAACTCTTTATTATTAGTCTGTCTACACCTCCAAAGCTCAAAATGATCTGTTCCATGTTATGATGTCATGAAGCGGTAGTTTTCACGTTAACACCTCCTTTCACCTTTAGTTCAGTCAAGATCAGCTGAACTCATCCTCAAGTCTAGGTTCTAGTTAAGGTGTACAGGAAACAACATTATAACATAGATCATGGAAGTATGGTGTAGTTATCTGATCTCTTAAAAGCAACATGGTTTCATTGAAATTGGGGTATTTTTAATTTAATCAAATCAAATCAGTCTTAATTGTCATATTGCTGCACATACAAGTGTAGTGCAGGAAAGATGATATTGCGTTTCTTGAGGTATCGATAAAAATAACATAATTTAATCACACTCACAATCCACCCGCCTCCCCCCTGACTCAACATTTCCATTCACACATCTCTAAGACAGATCTGGTTATTGCTATCGATGTAACAATAACCGAAATATCGTGATAATGTGAATTACAAGTTCCTTTGTTTAAATGCAGGTTTTATAGAAGCAACAGCTAATAAACATCGGAAACTACATATCCCATGATTCATTTCAGCACAGACGACATGAAGAAATATGTTTTTGACTTGAATTCTTGGGATTATGATGGAAATAATTCGCACCAATGTCTTGTCAAGGTATTTTAAAAGCAGAAACATGTCCTGTCTACAATTATATGAGCTTAAAATATTGCAATATTGCTACTTTTTCCTCTTAAAATGCCTTGACAAGACTTAATCCAAAGAACTAAGACTTAAAAGTATTAGAACTGTTATTTCTTCTTGTAGTCTGCACTGAAATGGAGCAAAGGATCATGGTCTATGTAGTTCCCTGTTTTTTTTTTTTTTATCTGTTGCTGCACCATAACTATTAATTTAAGCAAAGAGACTTGTAATTCGATATATTGTGAAGGTCCACGATATTATTGTGAGACTTTTGACAATACGATGTCACAATATTTCTGTTATTGTTGCATCCCAACTTAAAACTATTATTGTTATTAATATTTCAGCTCTGGTCTGATATCGAACACTTGTATCTGTTTGCTAAAGTTTCATAACCATAAATTTACTTTTTTTTTCTGGGGACCCATATTTTAAAAGTCACAAATCTTCGTGACCCAAGTCGATAGACATTACCTTATTTTTCGGACTATAAGTCGCACTTTTTTTCATGGTTTGGGTGGTCCTGCGACTTACTGCGGTGACACTTATATACTAACATTTTCAGAATAACAGCTGCGAGAGGGTGCTGTAGGTTCGTGTGTCAATATCTAGTACTTCTATTGCTCCTGTACCACTGTCGCTTCACACTCTATTGTGCATGCCTCCTGTAAAATAGCCACTGTCTCGCTGCAAATAGTGAAATATTCAGCCGAAAACGGTAATCGAGCAACAGAAAGAAAGTTTGGAGTGAACGAGAAACTTGTGATTAAGATGGAAAGTGGGGTTGGAGAGTACAGCTACAGTTTACCTCATGGATCTACGGTTTATCTCCGGAGGTTGCACAGAAGTGACACCAAGGATGAAGAATTCAGTGGATTTAGTGATTTGAAGTGAGATGGAGAGTTTGGTAAACTTATGTTCTGTTGTTTATGCTATAATTATCTGAAGAACCGTTAATATGTGACGTTTAATATATTAATGCCTATTCAGTCTGTTGTTCTCTCTTCTATTGTTATTACTATAACTTGCCTTTCAAGATGAAATGTCGGTTGCTGGTCTCTGATTTTACAAAATAAATTTCTCCAAAAAATGCGACTTATAGTCCGGTGCGACTTATATGTGTTTTCTTCTTCATTATAGTCCAATAAATACAGTATTCGTAAAATACAAAATAAAGGTGGATTTGAGCATTACTGAACATTAATTAGGATATTTTATTGTTGAAGACTGATCATTTCTCTCTGAACAATTAGTATTACTCAAGTTTTAAACAATGAAAAACAGCCACTGAACCAGCAATCAAAGGTCTCCATAAGTCATCTATTTGGACATTAAATGTAGCCCTGTGTATTGCAGACCTACCTGCAGAAAAGGCGACCCAAAAAAAAATTCTTGCAAACCAGGACAGGCCTAGCTGTTCTTTTGGGAGTAGCTTAGTGCCTTAAAGGTCTTATATTACACATAATTGACTCTTGTGAGCTTTAAAACATGTTAAAATGTTGTTCCCTCCTCAAAAACAGACCTGGAGTCATGTTTTGTTTCATTCACACATGTTTGACTAATTTACTATATTACCACATGACATCACAAGGTGGAACAGAGATTTGTTTTCAATTTGAGAGAAGAACTCATCCTGACTATGCAGGGTTTGTGTGTTAAGCATGTGTGAATGAAACAAAACACAACTCTGGAGATGTTTATGATGAGGAAACTACATTATAATATAGATTAGAAAACAGTATAATATATTACCTTTACTTTTTTTTAATCGCACATTTCAAGTTTAAATGATCCAAACTATATTTCTGTTGCACTTTACCCCTAAATTGTCTGCTGCAACATTGCCCCCTAGTGTTCAAAGACCAACATCTACATCTAGTCACTTGTATTACTGTATATTGTTTAACAGTTGTGTGTAACTGTGTTTTGCAGCTTTTCAGGGTGGAGGTCTTGTTCAATGGGAGAAAACATTTTGTCCTGAGGAAGACCAGCGAGTTCCAAACTCTGCACAGAAAAGTAAAAGTCTATAAAACATTTTAAATCCTTTTCATTTGCTACAACACTGAGTAAATGTACTTGTGTCTTGTGCACAGCTGAGAAAGGTGATCCAGACTCCAGACTTCCCAAGTAAAAGAAACCAACATTTAAGAACCAAACCTCCAGAGCAGAGAAGACAGGAGCTCGAGGACTATATACAGGTGAGACCCTCTGTGCCATATACTCACTGTCCTCCTCTGTACTATATACCGTATTTTCCGGGCTATTAGGCGCTCTGGATTATAAGGTGCACTGTCATTAAATGGTCTATCTTCCAACTTTTTTCACAAATAAACCGCCCCAGACTTTAAATGAAACACCACAGTTGGATGGGTGAGTGGTTTTGTTTGTTTGTGCCGTTCTCGGTGACTCTGGGCTTTGTTCAGTTGTGGCGTGTAGGGAGGGTGCTGTCTGGGACCGCTGGATTGTCGGCGTGTTCGCAGTGACTCAGTTGTTCAGTCGTGTCTAGAAGTGGCACATTGCACTCGCTTTTTTGGTTCGTTCCTCCGTTCCGTTCCTCGTCGGCGTGGAGTGAGGAGTGTGGCTGTGTGTGTTTTTCGCTGTGTGCAGTCGCTGTCTGCTCCGTGCGTGTTTGCGTGCGGTGCGGGTGATGCGGCTTTTAGAGTTTTTAGTCGTGATGGGACACCCGAGTGGATTCGTGTATAGGGTGCTGTGGATTGCGGGGGGAGCAGTCGGTTTTTGATGAGATTGGAGGCTTAAGAGCGCGCCCTGTAGCCTGGAAAATACGGTACTCACTGTCCTCCTCTGAACCATAGATCAATGTTTCCCTTTTTTTTTTTTTCTGGGGACCATATTTCAAAAGTCACAAACCTTCACGACCCAAGTCAATAGACATTATTGGTAAATCGTAAAATAAAGGTGGATTTGACCATTATTGAACATTAATGAAGATATTTTATTGTTGACTGAGTGATCGTGTCGCTCAGAACAGTTAGTATTACTCAAGTTTGAAACAATGAAAAACAGTCATTGAAGCAGCAATAAAAGGATTGATAAGTCACCTATTCGGACACTGAATGTAACCCATTACGTTTTCTTTTCAACATTCAACTGAACCAAAAATATTGGAATAAAATAGTCAATAAAATAATACAAAAACATTAGAAATTAAACAAAACATGTCTTCAACATTTCAACATTTCTAATGAGATAGGTGGGCCTGTCTGTGTTTTTGTAGCGTGTTCAGTCCGGGTGCAGGAGGAGACGCAGCAGCAGATCAGGAGCAGCATTCAGTCTGTTTCTGTGCTTCATCTTCATTTTTGTGAGCACAGAAAATCCCAATTCACACATATATGTAGCAGTGAAAAGAAAAAGCATAGAAATACTGTCAGAACTGTAGATTGCAGATCTACATGCAGATCGTGACAAGGCGACCCAAAAATAATCTCTTACGACCCAGTCATTGGGAAACAATGCCATATACTCACTGTCCTCCTCTGAACCACTGTCACTGTACCCTCACTGTATTGTCATGTGTTTCTTTCTTGTCTGCCATTTTAGAACATTATTTATCAGAATGAAGATGTGCCTCAGGTTTTGTTGGACTTTCTACATCTCAAACACTTCCACACAGGGACCAAGGCCTACAGCATGGAGTGAGTATTACTCAACTGAACAATTACACATTTTTAGAGCAGGGGAGTCTAAACTATGGCCCAGGGGTCAAATACGGCCCCCAGATGACCTCAAATCAACAAAAGTAGTACTTTTTATAGCAAATTAACATTTTTGAGATTATAACATAAATATCAAACAATTTGGTGTGCTACACACTTAACTCAAACTTTTCAGACCTAAGCTGACTCAGTGGCTCAGTCAAACCTCAGTATGTGGCTCTGGGTGAAAAAGGTTTGGACTCATTTGTTTTAGTGATTTGCATTCTGAAGATTAGTCTTGATATGATGAGTATGTTACCACGATAGAGTTAGAAAACTCATTCATTTTTATTTTATTTGAGCAATTTGTTGCACAGTGTAACACAAAGAAAGCATTTTTAAAAATAGAATACTACAAACAGGAGCAGGCTGTAGCAAAATCTTATTTGACTTTAACCTCATTCACATGGAACATTAGCAGAATAAAGTTGTGTGACTGTTACATTCAGTACCATACAAAGGCAGAAAGACACTCAACACACAGGTTTGGTTACAACTAGTGCAAAAGAAATAAGAAAGACTCAAACCCAGGCCCATACACACTTACCCAATAATACATTTACAGGTATATTCTTATTTCAATGTAAGCTACAAACAAGAAGCAGCAATGTCCCGATAGTTAGCTAGACCATGTTCATTTTAAATCTTGAAATGTTCTAAATTGTTTACACATTTGAGTCTTGTCCTAAAGTGAGCTGTGTTCTGTTTCATTTCAGATCTCTTGATGACCTTGACAGTCAAGAAGGAAGGTGAGGTGTTTTTAATGTCAGAAACATCACAGGGGCTGCAACTAATGTGTTTTCAGTCGTTCTCTATCAAACTCATGGTGACATGGTGATAAAAAAATAAAAGTTTAAAGCTCCCCTATTACGTTAAATAGATTCTCATGAGCTTTAAATGATGTTATAATGTTGTTACCTCCTCACAAACAGACTGGAGTTGTGTTTTGTTTCATTCATGTTTGAGTTACTCTTTATTATTAGTCTGTCTACATCTCCAAACCTCAAAATGCTCTGTGCCACATTGTGATGTCATAAAGTGTCAGTTTTCACGTAAACAGTTCCTTTTACCTTTAGTTCAGTAGAGTTTGGAAATTCCAGGACTGAAATCATCCAAATGATTCTAGAGAAGACGTGTTGGAGATTAGAAACAGTGGAGCACTTCCTGTATTACCACACTGTAGAACAGAGTTTTTTCAGTCTGAGAGAAGAACTGAGCCTAAATGTGCAGGGTTTGTGTGTTAAACATATGTGAATAAAACAAAACACAACTCCAAGTATGTTTTGTATGAGGAAACATTCTGACATAGATCAGAAAATAATAACATAATATGGACCTTTTAACCTGCTAAATACTGTGCCAAATGGAGGCTATTTGATTGACATACAGAATAAGTGAATTTTAATGGAAAATCTGATTATATTATGTTTTTGTCTCATTTTGTTTTAATAACAGAGCTGTCATTGTGATAAAACCTGTTTATTTATTCCAAACAATTATTCAAATAGTCAACAACTATTTCAGTAATTGACAATTATCACTGTCACTAAAATTCACTTTAGTGTTGCAGCCCCAGTCATGATGAAAACCAACACTTGAGTTTTACACGACAAGCCAAAAGTTTGGACACACCATTCTATTTCATTTTCTTTAGTTCATGATTATTTATATTGTGGAATGCAGGCTGGCACCACCTAGTGCCTCTGCTCAATTTCATTTCTCTCCAGCGACTAGAACCCCAGAAGTTGTAGACCACGCACCGGCCAATCAGCTGTGAGCTGTGAAGCCATGACATCAAACTTGTCACACCTGTCTGGGTCCTTTTTGTGGTACAGCACAACAGTAAACAAAGCGGTCGAGATGGATGTAGATGAAGACATACATTCTGTGTTGGCAACGATTCAGAGGATTGTGGATTTAAAGCTGGAACAAAGAGAATATTTGGTGAATTTTATCAAGGGGAAAAACGATATTGTCCTTCTTCCTATGGGATTTGGAGCATTACATACATCACGACTAAATAGCAGTGGTTGGTTAACTTGAAAAAAATACCCGTCTGTCATCAAGCAAACGAATCCTAATGCTGCGACGTCAGACGGTTTCCATGAAGTGAAAGCGGATGATGAATCAGCATCAAAACTCATAAGAAATGTAGTGAACAAGAAATCAACTCAAAATCACTCCACTTAGATTAAAAAATAAATACATACATAAATAAATAAAAATAGTCACCCTTTGCTTTGAAGATTTGCACTTTTGGTATTTCCTGATGTTGAGCTGAAGTGAAAACCATTTCATGTGAATCCAACAAGAAGCTCAGTGAGAAGGCTCACGGTTTGCAGCATTGTCAACAAAGCGAAGGGTAGATACTGTGAGGACTTTTGAGTTATTTAATGTTTTTTCTTATTTAATTTTTTTCTTTAATTCCATATATCTTGCTTCATGCAGTTGATGTCTTCTGTGTGTTTTATAAAATGTAGAAAGTAGCAATAAACATAAAGAAAACATACATTGAATGAGATGGTGTGTCCAAACTTTTGAGTGGTTAATGTCTGAACCTTAAAGATGCACTGTGTAACTTTTCAGATGTGGGTCAGTCACCTGCTTGTTTCTGTAGATACGTCATTGCTCTGCCTGGAATGTTCCACAGTGTGACATTAAACAGCTCTACTTTACATTTATTCAGTTACAGGTGGTTTTAAAGCTCAGAAATACCTAGAAAAACAGACATTCTGACTGTGAGCGGGGTCGCCTCTCCACAGATATGACCTGTAACCTGATCTGGTTGATCTCCGCAAAGATAGAAATGGTTAACGCCATACTGTGAAACATTCCAGACAACGCAATAACATCTTCATGGAGAAAAGCATCTGACGGACCCTCCACCAGAAAAGTTACACAATGCTGCTTTAAGTGTAGCTCTTAAGCCAAACACAAATCTCCTTTCTCCTTTCTCACAGTTATCAGTTTCCACAGCAGCGCGCTCTGGCCTTCTACCGTGACCCGTACCTCTCCGATTACTCCTCAGGTACAAAACACTCCCTCTTTTCAATCTCGCACAAAGACAACTGTGTACTGTGGTTTATTTAGACAAACTTTATTGATCCACAAGGGAAATGATTTGGACACAGCAGCTCACACATCACAATATAATAGAATAACAAAGAGAAAAAAATATAAATGGTCATAATAAATTCTAAATAAGGGCAAGAGACAGGTGCCAAATAAGACATAATTGTATAAATGTATAATTTCATACATACAAATAAAAATATAGAAATTAAGTAATACAAATATATCTCAGCAAAATACAAGAGTAGGTCAGGAAAACAGTGCAAAGATGATGTGATGTTTGACAGGACATAGGGTTGTTGTTGTACAGTTGTAGGGAGTATTATCTGTTCCATAAGGGTGAGTTGTTGTACAGTTGTAGGGAGTATTATCTGTTACATGAGGGTGAGTTGTTGTACAGTTGTAGGGAGTATTATCTGTTACATGAGGGTGAGTTGTTGTACAGTTGTAGGGAGTATTATCTGTTACATGAGGGTGAGTTGTTGTACAGTTGTAGGGAGTATTATCTGTTACATGAGGGTGAGTTGTTGTACAGTTGTAGGGAGTATTATCTGTTACATGAGGGTGAGTTGTTGTACAGTTGTAGGGAGTATTATCTGTTACATGAGGGTGAGTTGTTGTACAGTTGTAGGGAGTATTATCTGTTACATGAGGGTGAGTTGTTGTACAGTTGTAGGGAGTATTATCTGTTACATGAGGGTGAGTTGTTGTACAGTTGTAGGGAGTATTATCTGTTACATAAGAGTGAGTTGTTGTACAGTTGTAGGGAGTATTATCTGTTACATGAGGGTGAGTTGTTGTACAGTTGTAGGGAGTATTATCTGTTACATAAGAGTGAGTTGTTGTACAGTTGTAGGGAGTATTATCTGTTACATGAGGGTGAGTTGTTGTACAGTTGTAGGGAGTATTATCTGTTACATGAGGGTGAGTTGTTGTACAGTTGTAGGGAGTATTATCTGTTCCATAAGAGTGAGTTGTTGTACAGTTGTAGGGAGTATTATCTGTTACATGAGGGTGAGTTGTTGTACAGTTGTAGGGGAGGCAAAAATGAAGCACACCAAGAAAAGAACACTGTCCCTACTGTGAAGCCTGGAGGAGGCTTGGTTTTGTTGCTGCATCTGGCACAGGGTGTCTTGAATCTGTGCAAAATACAACAAAATCTCAAAACTATTAATGTATTTTGGAAGAAAATGTGTTGCCTAGTGTCAGAAAGCTTGGTCTCAGTCATAGGTCATGGGATTTCCAACAGGATAATGACCCAAAACACACAGCTAAAAACACACAAGAATGACTAAGAACAAAACATTGGACTGTTCTGCAGCGGTCTGTGAGTCCAGATCTCAATTCTCTTGAACATCTGTGAAATGAGCTGAAACATGCTGTCTGGAGAAGGAACCCTTCAAACCTGAGACAAATAGTGCAGTTTGGTCATGAAAAATCGGTCAGAATACCTGTTGACCAAGGCAGAAGTCTCATCGACAGTTGCAGAAATCATTTGTTTGCGGAATTTGCCTCAAAAGGTTGTGCAACAAAATATTAAGTCAAGGGTACCATCATTTTTGTCCAGGCCAGTTTCATTATTTTGTTTTTTCTGTTGTTTCTGTTGAACCACAGGTGAAAAACAATGTTTGATTTTTGTTGGACAATTTTCAGTAAATTTTTATTTAATATTGCTTTTCTCAGTTTCAAGTTATTTCAGTGATTATTGTTGAATTTTCTTTCATTGCCAGAGGGGGACCAACAATTTTGTCCACATCTGTAAATGGATATTTGTGTTCCACACTTTGAACTCCATCAACTCTGGCTTCAATTCACCTTTAATTGAAAAAACGTCTCTCTCTGTAACTTTTTCTCTTAGACTGTTAGTTTGGTCTTAAGATGTTCGTATTAACCACTCTACATGATCCTGGGTTTTTTATTTCACTATTAAATTTATAAATAAATTCCTTTTCCTAATCTGAATTTGGCTACAGATTTGCTCTTGTAACTCTAGCCTCGGTGAGCTTCACTGGAGCCGAACACTCTGAGTGACTTCTCATTCTCTTAGTCCACGTCTTTATACAGTCTATGGTTCTGACCCCATTACTGGCCAGTGTTATTCATTCCACTTCACTTTTCTTGCAGACCTGCCTGACGTGGTGGTGGACGGCGTCTTACAGGGATTTTACACCCGAGAAGTCCGAGTCAGTTTTCGAGACCCCACTCCACCGCTGCTTTAATATACAACAAATCTGTTTTATTCTTTCACATGGACTGCTTTTGGTTTGTAGTTTTGTAGTATGTTTTTCATTTGTAACTAGAGGTACATAAAACTTTGACTAATCAGCCGTAGCATTATGACAACTGACAGGTGAAGTGCCATACAGACTTGTTGATAATAGTAGAAGCAGCTGAATTCAGTAAGGATTTGTTACATTTCAACAAATTGTATTGACTAGACTACTGGGTCAGAGTATTTCAGATATTGGTCTAGTTCTGATTTAGTACAGCTTTCCTGGTCTACATTGGTCAGTATCTATGGTGGTGCTTTAGTCCTGGTTTAGACCTGGTTTAGACCTGGTTTAGATCTGGTTTAGACCTGGTTTAGACCTGGTTTAGACCTGGTTTAGACCTGGTTTAGACCTGGTTTAGACCTGGTTTAGTTGGTGTACATCTGCAACCACACTACTGCATCTTAAGTTACTGAAGTAGCTTAATTTTTCCTGTGGCCTTAAATATTTCTAGGAGTCATTTTAACTTATTTTTAGTTGAATCTAAATGTAGTATTTTATTAGACGGGGTACAGTGTGTGGAAAATGAACATATGACTGTGTTTAATATTTGTTAAGAGACACTGGATATTTTTTTAGTGATTCAGTTTCACTTTTTAGATGGCTGTTTTATTCCTTTTGAGCTGACACAAAGAGTTATGGACCAGCCTCACTTGTAGAGACATATTTTTATATTGCCTTTTTTACTTTAATTGTAAGAATTTGAGTGAATTTGAACACCTCCTGTATTATGGTTCATATTAAACTGGGAACAATCAACAAAGACTTGTCCATTTTCTTTTTACTAATTTAACTTTTAGTAAAATTTTACATTCACTAAATTACCATGCAAATTTCTCTTTATTCATGACATTTTTCTCATCGCTGTGAATCTTGACCTAATTCACTTTAATAAAGCGTGTGGCATGTGGCATGTTTTTTGGATGAGCTTTTAATTGGTGGTTTTCAGATTGTCATATTCACAGACCGAGGCAAGAGCCAATTTATCCAGGTAATTACATTATGCTTTGCCATGAAATATTTAAAAGGTAAATTCATAAATGTTTTTAATATACTCTATTCTGTCATATTTGTTATTTTAAAGAAATGGTAAATGGTCACATTTTTATAAAGCTCTTTTTCAAGTTTTATGTGAACATTTACAAAGAAACTTGGTGCCTGATATTAGTGTCTTCCCCAAGGACACAACAACAGCATCACACCGCCAGATCAGATCAGAGGACACTAACTGAGCTACAGTTACCCTGTCTACTCTTTATATATATATATATATATATATATATAATACTACATGCACGCACACACGCACACACATATATATAAAAAATATAGCAAGTCTCAAGTCTTTGACCTCAAGTCCGAGTCAAGTTCCAAGTGAAAGACAAGTCCAAGTCAAGTATTGAGTCACTGGCCCATAAGTCCAAGTCAAGTCCAAGTCGTCTGCTTTGAGCTTCAAATCATTTCAAGTCTTTAAACCAAAATACCAAATAGCTTATATTTTAGCAATTTATATGAATTTTAAACTAACTGTACTTAAAAAGTCATGGTATATTTATATGTGAGTATTTATAGAAGAGCACATTTTTCCTTTTTAAATGTTTTGTCAAGATCTTTGAGCAGATCACATTACAGTCAGAATAGAAAGTCTTCTCAAGTCACAGGGCACAAGTCCAAGTCAAGTCCTAAGTCTTTGTCTGTTTTATCAAGTAAAGTCTCAAGTCCTAAAAATAAAAATAGTAACTCAAGTTGTGAATTGAGTCAAGTCATGACTTGCAAGTCCCCACCTCTTATACACACACACACATATATACATATATATATATGTTCTGAAACATCTCATTCATATCTTCCAGGCATATACAGATTCATACATGTTGATCATTTTTATTTGTCGTGTTTTGACCCTTTAACTTTCTGTATTATTGGTTTATAGAATGTTGTGATAGCATCAAAAACCCAGGAATTACATCACTGACAAAAAAAAGTGGAAAAAGTTTCCTTCTATTTAAACTGATTCAAATCGATGTAAAACTACAATAAGAATTCCAATGTCCATTCCTTTTTACATTATTTACCAAATGATTTCTAAAGCTGTGAGTTTAGGTATATGCATCAGGTGAATGTATAATTGTATTCCTGCCCTCATAACCCTGTGGAATACCTGAAACCTGCTAAAACTCTGTTTCTCACATTATACATGGCATTTAAAGACAACAACAAACGTATGAAAAAAGTTTTTATTTTATTTAATAAAGATCAAATAAAAAGGCACATAAAAGGCACCTGGTTTAAACATTCCATTTACCACATACATGGCATTTTATTACTATTACTGCTAAAAATAAAAAATAAACTTTCATTTCATTTGTAAAACTAAACTGACAATATCTTTGGTAGATCTTTTTGCATTTCAGTATTTGAGCGTCACATACATTTCAAAAGACAAATCTGTAATTGTTTTGTTCAAGTAATTGTAAAACACCCACAAAGCTTGAATTTGATTATGTTCTAAAAAGGGAATGCATTAGATATGGTCCGATGCACTGTTTTTTTCTGAGTCAAGACAATATCCGATCTTGCCATGCCTGATAATATTAGTATCGGCAAAGATCGGTTAAGATTTAAAATTTTCCCACAAAAGCAATGCCTACAAATGTATAAGTTATAGTTCACAGTAAAAATGATAACGACAGTATGCATCTATGTGGGATAGTAAACATTTTTGGCATGATTGTGAAACATACAAATAATATTAAGCCTAAGTGAATTGTCAGGTGAACTGATGGGTGAATTGACAGGTGAAATAATGGGTGAATTGACAGGTGAAATGACATACATTAATACATAAATTGCTTCCATTTTTACTCAGTCTGTTCAAAAAGACAAATCTGGGGCATCTTAGGGAAAATATTGATTCCATATATCTGCAAAATCTTCAACATAAAACCAATACTGATAACAGGGGAAAATCCTCCGATATCACCGATACCGATATTGCCCGTCCCTAATATGTATTGTTAGATTGTGACACTCGTGTTGGTGTAAAGTCCAGGTGTATTGCAGTATTTGGTCCCGCAGAGCAGACAGGTGCTGTAGACAAATCTGACACTGGGGCAGCTTAGGGTAAATATCGGTCACATATCGGCAAAATCTTCATTATCAAACCGATATTGCCCATCCTTTGAATGCATTACTGTTTTCAGATTGAGACACTCCTGTTGTATATTGCGTGTGTTTGACAATGTTTGGTCCATGAGAGCAGGCAGGTGCAGTGGACAGGTCCATCAGAGCAGGCAGGCGCTGTGGGCAGGTCCATCAGAGCAGGCAGGCGCTGTGGGCAGGTCCATCAGAGCAGGCAGGTGCTGTAGACTGTGACCTTTTGGCTGATTTCCTGCAGTAACTCTTTGACTGCCGACTCGAGCTCCACCAGCTGCTCCGCCTTCTGCTCCAGAGTTTTCTGATTGTCCTCGTAAGACTTCTCCAGGTCTGAAACAACAAACCAATCATAAAGACACACTTGAAACAGACTGCACCATTTACTATTTGGCAAGTCAAAAAGTCCAGCCCCTCTGCTTCTAGTCTTCACCTGCACTCCTAAGACCATTCACCTCTTCTCTCCTTCCCCCTTTGTTAGTTTATTAGTTTATTCCTAGTTTGGCCAGTAGATGGCGCCAGAAAATACAGGTAAGCGCTTGTTTCATTAGATCCAGGCGAGCAGACAGCCAAACAAACCCAAGAATGTGAAGGAAAAACACAGACACCATGAGGAAATTTACCAGCATAATAAGTTTTAAGTATAGTTAAAATGGTGAAAATGGTGTTAAGACCCAAAGCACACAATAATGTAAAAATAATGTGTCTTAATTTATAAATAAAATGAATATTCTGTTTAATTTAAGTAGCACAATTAGAAGCCTTAGTTAAAATGTAAATGCATTTGGCTCATTTATTTAATGAAATAAATTAAAGTTAACAGTAGATTAATAAATTCAAAAAATAGTAATTTAATATAAGTTCTTAAACTGTTAAAGGCTAAACTGAATAATTGAATCTAATTGTCATTTGATTGTTTAAATATATTCCAATTTATGGTAAATGATGTAATACATATTAATCTGACCAAGTTAAAGGAGCACTAATATAAAAAAGAAAAGTTATTAAAAATCTATATAAAATAATAAAATATTCAATTTGTTTTATATATCTAGTTATTTAAAGTTTAATAAAAAAAATATATATATATTTAAGATTAAAAATTAATTGGTAAATTGTTACATTGTTTAAAATTGTAGCCTATTTAAATTAATCTGTAAAAGGTATATTCATAGATTATAATACAAATAGATTAATTTACTAACAAATTTCATTTCATTATTCAACATATTTGTTTACTTTAAAGGTTTTCGATCTGCAACTGCTGAAGAAACTTAAAAATTTCAATAAAAGTCTTCAAGCTGAGCTGAGCCTTGTGTCTGTCTTCCTGTTTTTTCAAGTTGGACCTGCATTTCTTAATTGACTTGACTCTATTCTTCCTATTTGTATGGTGTGCAAACATCATAATCATTTTGTTGGCTGTGTTCACATTCTAAAATTTGATGTCATGATGTCAGATGGAGGCAGGGCTTATATAACTCTATGGGACCATTTATTGTTTTTAGATATTAGAAATAACCAATAATCTGTTGTGGTCAAATAATTTCACTTTTTACATATCCACACTGACAAAGAGGACATTGAAGTTGGTGTCAGTTTTTGTTTCATGTGGACAGGCCCAATAATTACAGAGAACCTTAAACCAAACAGTAAACTCCACCATAGAACTGTGCCCCGTGTGGATGGTAAAGAACCTTTCTGACCTTTGAGCAGTTGGAGCTTGTTGCTGGCCTGGAGCAGCAGATCTTTGGCCTCTTTCTGCAGAGACTCGGCGCGTTTCTTTGCATCGGACAAACCCACGGCTTTTTCATCCACCAGCTTCTCCACCGTCGAATATTTGTCCTTAACCTCAGAGTCCAGGTCCTGGGGAGAAGAGGGTTTAGACTAGTGAGACCTTACCAAAACTACACCTAGTCCTGGTCTAGTCCTGGTTTAATCATAGTCTTGTCCTGGTTTAGTCCTAACTGAAGCTACGGTAGCACATATTTGAAACTTTTATTTAATACAACTGATGGAGAATAAAAGACATTTATTACTTCCTCTGATCAAAAAACAGACACATTACAGATTAAATAAAGTTACTTCTGTACGTTTAAAACAACATTATAACCAATTTTAGTCATTTTTGTCCAGCTTGTTTTAAACAATGGGGCCACCAAAGTGTTTTCTATTAATGGAAAACACTGGGGGTATGTGTGAGTTCATATCTGCACTTTGTTCATTATACAAATTGGCCCTTGACAGAAAGCTTAGACACTGGCACCACTTCAATTATTTTTAAATGACTTAACTCTTTTTTTGTCACTTTTTTATTGGATATGATCAATTTATAAACATAACAAGAAAAGAAAAAAAATAATAATAAAAGGAAATAAAAACAAGAACAGAAGCCTAGGTGACTACTAGAATAATACTACTTTTGCATAAATAACGTCCATTTTTCCCATTTCTTCTTCATTTGTGTCTCTTGCAATCTCAGTCTATGAGTTATTTTTTTCATTAAATAGATGTCTTTTATTGTAGATGTCCAGTGATCCTTTGAAGGCACAGAAGTTGTGCCCCAGTTTATTGACTTTTTGGCAGCTAATGACATGACTTTGAAAAGATATATTCAAAGGTATATAACATTATATTCACCAAAGTAATATGCTTTGGTGAATATAATGTTTTC